TGGGCCAAAATCCCTGCTGCAGTGTGTGCAAACCTGGTCAAGAGCTACAGGAAACGTCTGATCTCTGTAATTGCAAACAAACGTTTCTGTACCAAATATTAAGTTTCATTTTTCTGGTGTACCAAATACTTATTTCACACAATAAAATGGAAATTAATTATTTAAAAATCATACATTGTATTTTTCTGGATTTTTGTTTTAGATTCCATCACTCACAGTTGAGGAGTACCTATGATAAAAATTACAGTCATCTACAAGCTTTGCAAGTGGGAAAACCTGAAAAATCAACAGTGTATCAAATACTTGTTCTCCCCACTGTATGATCTGACATTGACCTTGGAGTTCTCTTCTAATCTCTTGTAAAGTTGTTCTGGGCTCCTTCGTTTCCATTTGTATTATCCATTTACTTAATTTGTTTTCAATTTTCTTCTTGCAGCCACATCCAAGGAGGTTGGCTACAATCCTGTGAACCTTAAATAGAAAAATAATTTATTGATCCTGAGAGAAATAAGTTRGTCGCAGCAGCATCTTGTTGTAGTACTGCTCAAACACTTCATGCTAATTTTTCTGAACCTGTAATAGCCCCGCACCCCACAACAAAATTAAATGAAATAGCTGAATCAGATATCAGTAATCAGAAGAGGATTTATTAAACAGCACAAAAGTTGGTGTTTCTACATGTACACAAAATCATAAACACCCCAAAAACCAAAGTTCCTTCCATCAATGGGATCCAACTTAACTGCAATAAGCCAGAATATATGAGCCACATATTTATAAACCATTTACACTTTAACTGAACAATCTACAGGATCAAGAAACAAGTGTTMGACACTTGATCTGTAGAGCAAAAAGCAAAATAAGCTTCCATTAAATCTGGTTATTGTAGATTCAAAAGGAATCCTACTTGGTTTAATGTGCTATTTACATCTGTCTTCTAAAAACAGCTCGTGACCCTATAAATTGTTTGGGGAAAACTAAATTAAAGTCTTGGTAAATAGGACGTCTCTCAAAATAGAACACTGGGTTTTGAATACAAAAATTTATTTTGAAACAAGACTAAGTTATATTTTTAGCTGGAAACTAAAACAATTCACTTACCCCCCCAAAGTATGATTTTTAGAACAGTTTGACAGTCATCTCCTAATTCTGCTCTCTAMTTTTTAACGTCATGCCATTAAAAGAATATGATGTCCATGTTCAGATTAAAACCCACACCTAATTTTTCCCAACTGCCCTGACTGAGGTAAAGATTTCTTATTTTTGGGATCACGGAGTGAGATKACAAATCAAAACCACATCGCAGTACAGTAGAAGTGTGGGGCCAAACGGTGGGAGCTTGTAGAGTATATGGGATTAGTCRCATCCAGAGAGTGACCCTTAGGTTTGACGACTGGCCTGAACCCTTCCTCAGAGGCACTTTTCCACTTTCAGAATTGGTAAAACACAAGCATGGACAGTTCTCCACATCAGGAGACTTAGGCCCAGTCCACATGGAAATGTTTTTTTCCTCCTCAAAGAAATCTCTTTTGCATTGTTGGCAGTTCAATAAAGTTAAAAAAAACTTATTTGTCYTTAGACTTTGTGTAATGATCATTTTTATTTTTTTGATCTGCTCCTTTTATGGCACCATCTGTAGTTAAACTAGCCTCTGCAGCACAACCACAAGCATGTAATCCATTGTTACTGCCAGTGTGTTTTCATGCTTGGGGTCGTTGGTTAGGATAAAGGTGGATTTATAACATCATAGGTCAACAGGTGGTGTTTTGCGCAGACAAAACTTTTATACATGCACAAAAAATTCCTGTGTGGACAGGGCCTAAGTAGAATCCAAAACGAAAAAATGAAAATGGTCCAATCTATCTAATCAAGCAAAACAAACATAAGGATTATTTTAGAGCTCTCATGTTAGATCGGTGCTTGTGTCTGGTCTTTATCTAGTCTTATATTTTATTTCCCCCTTGGGAACAGAAAAGACCATGCTTCTGGGGGGTATAAATTGTTTGCCTTTTTTGGACAACGTAAATTTACTGGCATTGCTGGATATTTAACAGGATATTTGTGGACATGGGGGTTCAGTGAAAAAGCTATGRACAAAGTTGATCATTGTGGATGGCTTGTTGAATGACCTCACTTTGGTTTGAAGAGCTAACCACTAGCCTGAACGCAGCCAAAACAAAAGTGGAATCTCCAAACTTTCATACAAGTTCATGCAAATGCTTTAATACACCTGTGCTGCTTTCACATTACATTTATTTGCATTGAATTCTGTGTTTTGTAACCGTAGCTCTTGACAGAATTTCAGATATTTCAGTTGAAATAGTGTAATTCATAAGTGACAACGCTGTAAAAAATTTAATAGTATTTGCACAAATCCTTACGAACTTAGAAGATTGAAGTAGTTTGGAGTCAGTACTGATCCACTATGGTTTTGGCTGTGTTTGGTTTAGCCATTAGTTAGTGACAAACTTAAGCGAGTATTTCCGTGGGCTGTGACTGTTTGAGACTAGCTGGCAAATGGCATTCCCAGGAAAGTCTCAAAAATTCACCAATAGCCACAAAAGTAGCAGGAAACCCCTGCYGCGTAGCTTCAATTTAGAGCACCTTCAAAAATTTTAATCCACACCGTCTCAAGAGCTGTGAGCTCTGTAATGGAAACCATTCAAGGCAAAAAAGTCTGTTTTAAAACCACACTAATGAAGAAAAATGATTGAAAAAGTGCCCCAGCACTGCACATCCTCATTTAGAAAGTGTGCTCCAGGAATTTAAATCAAATGTGGAGACGGGTGCTGAGCTGGGTGTGATGTGGGTGGAGGTTGACGACAAAACAATGTGCACGGCCAACAATACAATTTTGCAAGCCGTACACAAAAACAGGCCACAACTTTAAAAAAAAACTGGCCATGCAAAATGCAATCACATGGCTCTTTTATCGAAAGCACTTTGAACTCAAGTGAGACTCCAATATATTTCCCTTTTTTCCTCACAATTAAGAGTCGTAATCTCATTTTCTGAAGCCACAGCCCAGGGAAATACTAGATTAAGAAGTGTAAATAAAGGTACGCCAACAAACTGAACTGTATTTGCAGGAGGAATGCAAGGAGCAACTGACTGGAGAGCAGAACTAGACAGTTCCACTTAACCAGCTGRTCCAACACTGCACATTTTTTTCATTAAACAGTAAAAGGCTTGTTAAGTATGTACATCATTTCCTTTTTCTTTAACAATGTAAAGATCCCCCCATTCTTCTAAGATGGCTTAGCTCTTCATAGCTAATCTGATCGTTTTTAATAATAGGCTTAGACTTTTCAATAATTAGTTACCCAAAACACATCCCCACGACTTGATGAATAAGAACAGAATTTAATGACAGCAGCAGARAATTTGCATCATTTCTCACAATTCTAAGTCGCCAACAACTCCGCAACAGTCGCAGCCCAGTAAGACACTACTTCTATATTTAGTTTTTTTCAAACTAACATTTTTTGATCTGTGTTCTTTAAATTTGCTAAAATATTATTTTAAGATACCTGGTAAAATGCTTCACAGCTACAAAATCTGGATTCAATCAAAAATAAATTCACAGAAGACCTACACAATCTTGTCAGATGTAAAAGAAAGTTTAATTTCTTTTGAAAATTGACCAAGATGATTGAGTGTCATGGACCCWACAACTGGCAGCGATCAACAAAGATGTGTTGTGTGTAGCCTGTGTCACAATTACTTGATGACCATAAAATATGGAATCTTTTTTTTTACAACCAATTTAAAAAAAAATAAAAGATAAGTTTAATGTGTTCTTGGATCAAATTCATTGTCAAAGTTTCTCAATAAAATACTAATAAATCTTTGGTATTTATTTTTTTAATCATGACATTCAATGGTTAAATTGTTGTACATTAATCCCAAATGAAAGAACAGTTTTCCTTTTTATTTGTCACACTTCAGGTTTGTGTAAAATGTGAACTACGGTAATTCTTACTTGTGAGGGCCTCTGAGTACGAAGCAGTCATGTGACGACCTGCGATGCTTCAACTTATTTTAGTTGAGATCTGGGTCAATGGAAAAAAAACCCAAGATTAAATATTCCCGCTAAAGATTTGAATTTAGATACTGAGTGAATGTGTAAACACGTAACAAGGAACCAAACTAAAGTGAGTTTTGTAACAGATTCACCAAACATCAGCTRACTGAAGATGAACATGTTGCCCACAGACTAGAGTATAAATCTATAAATCCCACATATAAAAAACGCATCAGGGGAACTTTATTCGTCTTTCATGTCTTTTAACAGAACCCCAAAAGAAAAAAATATATTTCTGACACTAGGGCATAATTATTAACTCAAAGGACAAATTCAAAAGATGATTTATCTTGTTTTAGAGTAAAAACTGAAGACATGAGAACTCTTCCAAACTAAAGAAAAAAAATTAAATTGGAAAATCACACATTTTGTTAAGACAAAAAATAATCTATAACTGCATTTTAAGGCCTAAACACGTCTGTTACTTTGAGATCATCACTAATGTAAAAGAATAGATCCTCTGATCAAACACAGGAAAAAGCCATGGCCATGCTGCACCAAGAACCTAAATAAATACAGCTAGTAACGAAAGACTTGGGGGTTAAAATATTAAGGCAATGCATGTTCTTAGTGGGTTTTGTCCTCACTGATTTCTAAACATTAAAAGAAGAATAAAGATTACGCTCAATTAAATACACACCAAAAGAAAAAAAAAATACTTTTTTTAGGCTTTCTATTTTTACAATACCTGACAGCAGTTTGTGTRGCTTCACAGCAGGGCTGGACCCCCACCAGCGCCACCCCACCTTCCCCAACACCCTGCATCACATTTACCATATTTAAACTGTCTGGAACCAGAACTGCTGCCTCTCATTCACACTGCAGCAGTGCAGTAGTACAACCTCATCAGGAACCTGTCTTTCCCCCCCAGTACAGTCAGTGCAATGCTCAATGTTGCCTCTTTAAAAAAAATAATAATAAAATAAAATAATAATAATAATATAGTAAAAAATAAATGGGATACAATCCCAGGATTGTGGGGACAGGTAACGTGGCTGGCACTGGGGCAAAATAAAAATAGACCCACCTAAATTTGAAATAAAATTCATTAGATGACAAAAGAAAGAAGTGATTAAAGACTGTGTGGTTCAGAGGATGAGCCTCTCCTCACTCTAGTGAATGTAGGCTCTGTAGACTGCAGAGATATCGTTGTCTGACTGGTCCAGCGCTTTAGCCCTCTTGTAAACCTGCACAGATTCACAGAAAAAAAGTATTACCTTTTTAAAACACTTTTATTAAACAGGAAAAATACTTGTTTATTCGTTAAACTGTCAGTGTACAGACACAGAGAAATTTGTTGGTACCTACAGTATCTACACTAGTAAACACACAACTGAAAACAAAGTTTTCTAGTTGCCTCTGCTCCAGACCATTTTAGGTTGCCTGCTGCTGTTGCCAAAATTAACAGACCCAGATAAAAACAGAACCAACTTTATGACACCAGAAATCCTAAACTTGACCTTAAAAGGCACAGTGTGTAGGATTT